CTATATGATGAGAATATTGTATACTTCTTTCATTATACCTGATTATAAGATTAAGCATTTTCATTTCACTCTTAACTCAGATGTAAGATCATGAATGAAGATCTGTAAACAGAAAGATGTTAAAAGTTCTTCATTCAATATAAGATAGTATAAACTGAAGTGTGTGAAGTATAATGTAAGATCACTCACTTATCTACACTTAATGAAGTGTTTATAACACTTATCTCATATATTCACTTTCTCAAAGTTGTGTAAGATTCATTTGAAAAACTCATTTCATGTTTATAAGAATGAATATCACTTCAGGTCTGTGAGATTCATCTTTTCACTAGTCATTTATAATGACTTCACTTTTTCATATAAAAACATAGCAGATCTTAAGACTTGTTGAAATTCTATTAACTGTCTGTCTGTGAGTTCACATTCAATCTGATAATATGATTGCATCTGACTTAGCCAGCTGATTACAGCATTATTTTTTCAGTCACTATTAAAGCTTAATAACTCTGACAGATCTCTCAGCTTGATATATTTCATACTTGAATTCTCATTCTGTGCAGTGATCTCTGATCATGTGTATACTTCTGAAGAGATTATGAATGATTGTGATAAGATCTTCAGATTCAGTGTAGTTATCTATCTATGTAAATATTTAATCTTCTGCTACAGATCTAAGATCTGATTTTCTCTATTCTTATTAATGATGATAATTATGTCAGTGAAGCTCTTCATAGTAAATGCTTGATTCACAGTGAATATCAATTATTATTTAACTTTCATCTCAGCCTGTCACTGTTAGACTGGCCGCCGGGACCATGAATTTCACATTTGATCTCATTTGATTTGGTCTCATACATTTCTTGGCGTGAATCCCGCTGAGACTGGCTATCAAAAAAACATGTAAAGTGACTATATATCAGATCTTAAAATAAAACCATGACTTGAAAAAAATGAGAAAGTGATTTCATTTGGTCTCATTTAGTTCCATTCTTGACATAAAGTTACTATTTTTAGACATTTTAAGGTTTCTTTTAGACTATTTTTAATTTTTTAAAAAGTAACACTTTTTGATAACACTCAAATGAGATTTAAAGTCATTTAAAGCAATAAAAATAATTTAAATTGAGAAGTGAAAATCATGATCTCATTTGGAAAATGTGACAAGAGTAGACAGTAAGTTTCACTGAGACAGTATGAGACTACTATCTAATATTAAAACCGTGTAATGGGATCAGTCGAATTGGTAATGAGACTATCAAAAAATCTGATCCTGGTCTCAGACACGGTCACACGGTCAGTCTAGTCACTGTGTACACAAGGCCTTAATCTTGTTTAGAATTCTCATACATGTACAGAGCTTTGATTTCAGTTCAGCAGTTTCAACTACTTTTCTTACTGCTTTGAGTAAATTCTCTGAAAGATTCTGCATATCTTTCAGTTCAGATAGCAAAGAAGACTGTTATTCATATTAACTAGAAAAGATATTTATTTCAGTGATTTCTTGTTAATTGTACAATATCTATTATTATATTACTGTATTATTATATGATTTCTGTTATTATTATATAACTTCAGTGATAATCACTTTCTTCTTTTATCTCTTTAAGTGAAGAGTGATCTTCTTTGAATCTGATTCACTGCTTTTATCTCTTTTCTCAACATCTCATCTGTTTGCATATATGGCATTCACCTGAGTATGAAGTTTTCTCTCAATAAGTAAAGCAGTATCAATCAGATGCTCTTTCACTTATCACTCTTTATACACTATCTTTTGAGACATTCTAGAACCACACTGATATGATAACTATGAATTACTTTGTAGACAGAATTATTACACTCTGAAGAAGTCTGCACTTCTTACTGATTTTTAGACATGCTATCAGATGTGATTCAAAGATTGCTTAAGTCAGCATATGATTACAGATGTACACTGACTTCTTATATATTATACACTAAATTAATTAGTGGCCGCTATGGCCTCTTTACACTCATAAGCAAGTTCAGAAGCGGCCGCGTTATTATCCGACAGTCGTACGTTCTTCCGAATCATAATTTGATGATTCAAAAGACATTTGTATTCATTATATAATAAAGCTGATCATAGATATGAGAGAATATTAATATGAAGATGTCTATATATATAAAGTTGATAATCTTGATTACAATCTTATATTAGAACTTGCCTGACTATCTGAACAGAGTATCTTATTGAACACTTAAAACAGAAGCTTGATATTCTCTAATAATGATAGAATTCATGAAGATGACATTCGCAAGATTATGAATCTGACACAGATCTCTGTCAATGTGTATAAAATACTTTAAAAAAGAAGTCACTAATAGCAGAATCATGTAACAATCTATTTCACCAGTCTGACTAATATTAAAAAGACTCTAGAAAAGTGATTCTGTGTTACAATAACAGATTCTGATATGAAACTTCTTTAATACTATTATGAATATCTAGATATCTTCTGATAAGATAATATTATAAATATATTTCTCTTACAAGGTTCTGAATAGACTGACTGTGTGACCGTGTCTGAGATCAGAATTAAACTTTACAGTTGTCACATTGTCTAAAAGTATTATTTCTAGTCATGGTTTGTGCTCATCACATTGATCTCAAATCATGTTATTTCAAATATTAAAGATCTCAGATTCACTTTTCAAATAAAAATCTAGTTTTGAATAAAGAATATATTTGAATTCTTAGTCACATTTTCATTCTGATCTCATTATTGAGAATGACATTAAATGAGATCATGAAATTACTTCTCACTTACATAATATCATAACATAGTACTCATTTGTTGAAAATTCAATAGAGAGTATTATTAAATATCATTACTTTTCTAAATACAGATTATAATTCATATAATCTTAATTATAAAAAAAATATAAAATATAAAAAAAAAAAAAAAAAAAAACAAAAAATAAAATACAAACAAGAAAAAATCAGAATGAATAAAAAAAGAAGAGAAAGAAAAAAATAAAAACTAAAAATAAAAAAAATCATGATCACAGAGCTGCAGTATTTTTAAAATACTTACTTCTCAGAGTCTTTATAATATTTATTATCAACTGTGTATCTCTCACAGTGAGAGTAACACAGTTATAATATGTTATTATCTTAATATTATCTAATAAATAATCAGTATATATCTGTATAAATGTGAATATTTAGAAAATATACACTTAAAAAGTGTGATCAGAGTGAACTCTGCTGTCACTTGAATGATATCAAGAACAGAATGCTGAAATTGATGATTTTCTTCATTGATTTCACAGATAAGACAGGTGAAGATGATCTTGAAAAATATAAGATTCTCTGACTTCTGATAAAAACAGATCTCACAGAGAGACTCTATTTTCATAATATTAGAGACTGAGTATTATCAAAAAGCATTACTTTTATACAATGCACATGCACTTACTGTGATAATTTATTCTCTGTGTATATGACTGAGAGTTGCAGCTTTCTCACATCACACAGCTCTCTCTGAAATGCTGATATCAGTTTACAACTCACACAGTCTCTCAGTTCAGTACATACTGTGTGTATACAGCTCTGCATACTGAGACTGTGTTGATCATTATAATCTGATATGATACTCACTTTTCACAAGCTATATTTCATTTGAAGAGAGAGAAAGAGAAGACATAACTGTGATTTTATTAAGAGAGAATGAATAATTAGTAATATTAAATGTAATTTAATTCTTCTATATTTAAAATTTGATTAGTCTATACTCTTCAATTTGAGAATTTCTAAGAGTGTTTTAATAGTTTTTATATCAGCTTGATCTTAGTGATGAGTTGAAGAAGAAGAGAAAAGAGAGAAGAAAGAAATAAGAATAACTTATCTTTATAATATAAAAATAGAGAATTACTGCAATCATTGTTTCTAATAATAAAAATCTGTTTTCTGCATGTATCTCTGATATAGATTATATAATAACTGTATACAAAGAATATCAACACTGTATATATTAAATAAAGATGATATTACTATGTAACACTGTAGCTGTTTCTATATATCTCTGAAAGCTGTTAATATTTTCTTTATCTCTTTATATTTGATAAGTCTGTAATATATTTCAATGCACTCTCTCTTTCATCATTATTATCATTATTATCATCATCATCATCACTATCATTATTATTATCAATATTATCACTATTATTATCATCATTACTATCATCATTATCATTATTATTATTATTATTATTATATTATTTCTGGCTGTCTCTTCTGCCTTCACTTCTCTTCAACACTCACTGAAATTAATCATGTTATTTCTCTTTAAATATTCTGCAGTTCTGTGAATCATCAAGGCATGTGAGCACTGTCACAGATTGAAGAAAGAGAAGAAGAAGATATTCAAGTGAGAAGAGACAAATTACAAGACATATTATAATGTCTTGAAGAGGCTTTATAAAAGAGTAGAATAATAATGATTTTAAGTAACACTTCTGATAGATTTAGACTGAACTAAGTATAGAAATAATACAGATAACATCATCTGTGAGAGATTGAAGAAGAAGATAGTGAAGAGTCTCATACAGTAGTAATGAAACTAGAAGATTATTATTATTATTATTATTCTTTCATTATACTCATATGCAAGCGGAGCTTATGATGAGTCCTTGCGTGATGTTAAATACAGGCCAAGTGTTGATTATACAGAAGGAAATACAGGTGTTGAGATCACGCCAAGATAACAAGAACATAGGAAATACAAAGATGTGACAATTAAATACATGCGATAATAACTTCCCAGCCCAGGAACATAGAGTGATTTATTGAAGTGATTTGTACACCTCTGTATTTATTAGAAACCTGAGGTGCTTGAGTTCCGGATTTAATGTATCCCCTGCGGGTTTCGAACTCACATGCCTTGGTTTCCCACGCCAAGGCGCTACCGGGTGGCCGTATTAACCATTCGGCCACCGGGGCATGAAACTAGAAGAAGTTCTGAGAATGATTTGAGTTCAAGATGAAGAGAGAGAGAGAGAAGAAGAGTGTTACTGCAAATAAGCAGCAGCAGAAGAAGATTAAGAAGGTATTAAAGTAAGAGACAAAGAAGCTAAAACTGATAAGTTTTTTATTTATTGAAAGATAATAATTTTTGATAACACTTCTGTTCTCTAATTGATTAGCAGAAGCTGGCAGAGAAGAAGAGAATTGAGGCCTTGTTCAGGTCTCAAATGCACTTCATAATTCAGAACATTGAGAAGACAGCTCTGCTCTCTGAGCATGTTAATCTACTTACTGCTGAAATGAAATCTGAGACAGCAGATCAGAAAATACAGGATTTTGAGATACAGATTAATCTGACTGAGAAGAAGCAGTGAGAACTCTTCTCTGAGAAGATAGTGAAGAGAGATTTTGAGATAATTATCATCTCAGATGAGAAGAAGAAGAAGAAGAAGAAGAATAAGAAGTGAATTATAAAGAATGATAAGAAGAATAAGAAAGAGAAGAAATAGATTTTTTTCTTTTTATATTAGTTAGTTATAAGTTTAAGTTCATAATTATTAATAATTAAAATTGATTTTGAGTTTTCAAAAATTATTGTACAAGTTGTAATCAAGTCAGAAATGATATATATATATATTTATATTTAACTATCATGATTTACAAATCACTATAATATATAAGTATCAACATTTTTTCAACATTGATATTTACAATATTAATATATTTTTAATAATATTATCTGATAATATAATTTGATAACACTCTCTTTCACAATATTAATATATTTTAAGAAATATGATAGAGATTAATCAAGATTATTTATTTACTTTTATATATCAATGATATTCAATTTGAGTTAGTACTAAAATTATAACTAAGTTAAGAAACAAGATTATTTTCTCTTATATTAATTCTTCTTACACACATCAGTGATCAGTTATTGAAAATAAATTATTATCTTTCTTAAATTATTATTATATCTTCTGAATTCACTTCTTTCACTTCTTTTACTTCTATTGAAGATTCATAAACTCTTCAAGAAATTACTGTAAATCACAAAGTCTATATTATTTATAATTCAACACAGAATACTTTCTTTCAATAATAATAAATAATCACTTCATTCTTCACATCTGATTCCAGGTTATAAAATTTATGAAAAACTCAACATAAACACTGAGATGAACTATGAAATAATTATTAACAGATTGTATTATAGATTACTGAAGAGTTATCTCTCTGCTGTAATTACTATAACTTCATTCAGAAATATTCATTATAAACTGATTATAACTCTGAAGAAATTTCTCAATATCTGAAGTCATCAGAATGCAGATAATAAAAGAAAAATAATTAGAAGATTACTACTAAGCTGATAAGCTACTCTATCAGATAATGATTTTTAATAATACTAACTTTCTAATTTGAAGAAAATTATGTAAAAATAACTATGTATCAGTACTCTGATTTCACAACTCTCATCTGATAACTTCTGTAAATAATTACTTTACATGTATATATCTCTGAATCTTTCTCTTTGATTAATTGAAAATCTCAAATTCTAAACACTTCTTCAAATACTTAATTCAAATCTTCATATTTCACATTGATTCTGTCTTCAGTTCAATCTCAAGATATATTACAAAGTTAATATATAATATCTAGAATCAGAGTTGAAGAATCATTGAAGAGTGTCTCTCACAGTAAATACATGAACTAGTATAAACAATCTTACATTTGTAAGAGTTATATATTATTATATTGATGAGAACTGAACTTATTAAGAGACATTAATTGAATTTGAATCATTAATCAGTAGTCATACTGAGAATTATATAACAGAGATATTAATAACTGTGATTAAAAATAACTATTGAGATATTAGTCTCAGTCTTCTTACAATTATAACTGATAATACTGTGAATAACTATACTATAATGAACAGCTTGAAGTAAAAATTAACTTTGTATTTCTGAAATGATAAATAAGGTTATATTTACTGCATTACTTATGTGATTCAACTTATGATACAAACACTGATAAAGAATCTTAATATCAAGATGAAGAATAATGAGATGACTGATTCTTGAGATGAGAATGAGATGAAAGTGATTATTTAAGTAACTTTTACATTCACTTTATAAAAGATAATGTTTTTTAATAACACTTTTTAATATTGCTTTTTAATAATACTTTTTGATAATACTACTGTTAATTTTGAATAGATTGACTAATAATTTAAATATCACAGATTTGAAATATTGCTAATATGATTTGTATCTTCTTTAAATAACAACAATGATTTTATAATATTTAATAAATAAATAAATCAGTCATCTTACTGAATATAATACAGAATGTTAGATCACAGTGAAGTTTAATATATAAGATAACTGTTCAGACTCTTCAATTATATCAGATAATTAATCATTGAGTGCAACACTCTGATTGAGAAAAGATTCAGATATTAAAACTTTCTGATATGAAGTGAACTCAGTTGAAATATGTTATTGATTTACTGTTTCAGTTTTATAAGATAATAAAGACAGTCTTAATCACTCATACATCAATGCTGTAGTCAGTCTGATGAGTGTATAAGAGTTTATTTACTTATCTTGAGAAGCAGTTAAATCACTTAAAAAGAAATTCAGTCTGAGATAATGCTATAGCACAGGCTATTATTACAGTAAGAAATAAACTGGCATATTACTACAGCAAAACTGAACAATCTTTTACAGAGTACTATACTGTAGCAGCTCTACTAGATTTCTCTTATCAAGTTAATATCTACACTTCTCAAGATTGAATAGAGAAGAAATGAGACTTGTATATTAAATTAGCTCAAGACTACTACAATATCAACTATCAGAGATTTGAATAAGCAGATGTTCAAGATCTAAAGACAGTGAAATACAATTCTCTAGTAAGTAATGATCTTTGATAACACTTCATATCTCATAGAACTATAATACTAACTTTGAAACAGAACTTGTATACATTGATTGCAACTGAAAATCAGGCAAAACTACATGCTTGTAAAACTGAATTTAATCACTATCTTCAAGAAGATCTGACAAATGTACACATCAAATCAATTCTAGAGTTATGGAAAATTGTTGAGAGTACATATTCAACTGTTGCACTGATGACGCGTGATATTCTAGCAATTTCATTGACAGAGGTGAGAATGAATAACTGAGAGAACAGTATCAATTGCAGTACATTGTTTTCTATCTCTCATTTGTTCATTAAATAGAAGAGAATTACTAATAGAGCTTATAACAGATAATCTCAAGCTGCTTTAAAAAGACTTAGAAATAGTCAGATTCATAATGGTTAAATGAATCTTGAACTGATTTTAAACTCTGTTTTGAAAATTCAAAAGAGAAGAATATCAAAACTGATAATTCATCTGCATTGGGTTTCTGCTCATATGAATATTCATGGCAATGAATTGGCTGATTCAGCTGCAAAAAAGGGTTCAGAATTAAGCAGATCTATTCAAAAAACAGTGTCCTGATCTTTCATAAAGAGAAAGATAAAAGAATCTTGTTTAAACAAGTGAAATGAAAGCTGGCAGAAACAAAAGAAGAGTATACATTATTCAAGATTTGAGACAAAACCAAAGTGGAAATCTTGTTCAATTAAATGTAAAAAGAAAATATTCTCATCTATAATTCAGCTGAAACTAGGACATGGTTATTTCAAATCTTATATACAAAGATTTGATGATAGATTTGATTCAACAGAGTGCTCATTCTGCAATGTGAATGAAAATCCTGAGCATATTGTAATGCATTGTGCATTATACAATAGTCTCAGAGTCAGATTAAAGAAGAAGTATGATTTAAATCAATTAAATATGAGGTTCTTATTCTCAACTGAGACAGGAACTAAATACTTAATAGACTTTCTATCAGAAACTAGAGCAGCTACAAGAAAATGGCTGAATTCAGAAGTATCTGAATATGAAGAGGTGGAAATTGACTAGATATAGTCTGTTAAAACAGCTATATATCATCTTTTAATAATTTTGTTTTGTTATGATCTCTCTTTACTGTACTTGTTTCCTTCTGTTCTTTTCTCTATCTATTTAATATGTCTATCTTTAAGACTATGTTCTCTTTTCTTTTGTCATAATATTTCTGAATGGTTTCAAACTATCAGAAGGTGTTGAAATACTGCAATTTGTAAACAGTTTTTGTATTCTGGGCTGGAATTTTCTGATTTTGCATATTTGAAATTGATAAATGTATAATAAGTTGACTCTATAGATATAGGAAAAACCCTGAGAACTAAAGATTCTCAGGTAGATGTCATAGTCTCTGACTGCATACATCTATAATTGAAGAATAATAATAATAATAATAATATAACAGATAATCTAGTAGCTATTATCTTTTCTAGAATTTTTCTCAAACAGTTCAACAGAGATATTACTCTATATGACTTAGAAATTGAAGCTTTTCTATTAGATTTTGCAAGAATTACTTCAGTAGCTTCTCTCCAGCATTCAGAATGATAATCATTTTTTAAGAGATTGAAAAAGAGCTCAAAATATTCATTCTTCAAGTAGGAATATGTGTTTTGAATAATTAAGTGATTAATTAAATCAGGCCCTGTAGCAGTTTTAATTGAACTTGAGAATATTGCTGACTCTAGTTCATCATATGTAAGCTCAGGCCATTCCCAGTTATTTTCATTAATATATTCATGAAATGACATATTCTTCTCTTCTAAATGTGATGAGTTTTGAAAGAGAATTCTTATAAAAGCTTGATATTTTTTCTCAAAAGCGTTTGCTGTATATAATTCATTCTGAAATTCATATTCTAAGATTGAAAGCTTTACTACACTTCTTGTTTTAGTATAGTTGAAGGCTTTGAAAACTGCTTTTTCTTATGCTTCTTCAAGAAATTTGTTTCAGCAATCTGTTTTGACTTTTTTAATATCTGAAAAATATTCATTTTGAATAGCTTTGAACTCTTTATCAGATATTAAGTTAATTCTTTCAATCTCTCTTAGCAGTGACTAATTACTTTCTTTGAGAAGTGATATTCTCATTTCATCAAGATTTGAAATACTCAGAAGACTTTTTCTTTGAAATATTTTCTTCAATACTTGTTAGAAGCATAGATGTAATCAGCTTTACTCTATTCTCAAGCATTTCATTTGATATATCTTGACTTTGATTTCAATAGAGCTCACTCTGCCTTTCAGATTTCAGCTATTTTACTCTTTCTTCAACTGCTTTTCAATCAGCTTTATCAAAGTTATACTGATTAGAGAGAAGAGAATTTTCACTTCTTTGTTTTTCACTCAGTTCAATATCAAATTGAATGATCTCATGACTCAATTCTGAGATTTCATTTGA